CTTTAGTGGTTTTACTATAACTAGTATTAAAAATTTAAAACAGTACAATTGCTAGATTTGACGTAGATCTGATTGGCTTTAATATTAAACAATAATTAAAGTAAAAAATTCTACACAGTACTAGAATAAAACCAAAAAAATATTGTGACGTAGTAAAATGGTAAAATTCCAAAAATGCACGAATTCAATACATGATAGACTATTGTGAGATCTCAATATTTTTATTTTATTTTCTTCAAAGAGCTACTTTTATAAAAAAAAAAGAGCTACTTTTTGCTCTGCTATTTTATTGAATGATTAAAAAACAGCAAATGCTTAGCCAATAAACCAAATGTATAATTAAACACAAATAATATTGGTTAGACGCTTTTTCTATAGGCAATTTATTAATAATATTTTTATTCAAATAGCTAGTTAACATAATAAAAAAAATTCGATTTTTATAAAGATAACCATGGCGTATTTACAGTAAGTACAAAACATATACAGATCTAATTAATTATAATCTGTATAAATACTTAGTTACAAAAATTTGGTAATCAATGCGATATTAATTAATCAGTTACAATTAGCTAAATACATGATTTTAAAAGTCGGGTTTATAGCGCTATTGACTGTAACTTTATAATTATAATTAAATTTTTTGAAAATGGGACAAGTGTATAGTAAATTAATATTTTTTATCGGACAATAAAAAGCAGAATTTTATGCACAATAATCAAGTTTTACCATTTGGAATCAAAATAACTAAAATGAATTTATTTAGTTTAATATGCGAGTTTTAAAGTTGGAAATGCAAAAGTTAAGTATTATTTTTTTCTGAGTAAAGATAGCTTTAAAAGAATAAAAATTTAAAAAACAAAACATTAGATAGGTCGAGAATACAAGCAGATAGTCATATAATTTATCATATAGTTGCTTGTAATTGCACCAAATAGTATTTATATAATACAATCATTAAAAATTCTGTTGTATAAAAAACAACACATATGTTTTAAAAAAGCATATATAGATGATTATAATATGAAATACTTTAACCAAACATTATTGTAAATTAAACTCCTAATTTTAATGAGCCTTTTTTTCAAAAGCCCAAAATTTAGACTTTTTATACGTTTAAGGATAATGAGCCAATAGCAATTGGCTCATAAAACCCCTTGGAGAATGGTTTCACAAACTATTTCCCAACAAGTACTTAAGCAGCTAACTTTCCACATTTGGGAGGTAAGCTTTTTAACTAGTTTAATTGCCTTTCCTTTTATTATTTTTACTCTTTTAAACAGCCCCTTCTTTAAACGCTTACATTAATCTATAATACTATTAAATAATAAACTAAATAATATAAATGTAAAATGAAAATTATTAAAATACACTATTAAATTTTTTAAGGAATGTTTAAATGTTTAAATATAGTCCCAGTAAACATTCTTGAAGCGTTTAATTGTTGGAATTTTTTTTTTTTTTCAGACTGATAATTTTTTTTAAAATAGAAATTCTAATAAAAACTCCTGTGGAAAATAATATAAATTTTTACTATATTTCACTTTACAGATATTATTGTTGAATAATCAGCTGCCCTAGTTGATCTACTA